ACAGACCAATGAATCCAGTGAAAGATCCTGTAAGATTATGTGGGTCACAAACCCAAGGTCAAAGGGTCAGAACTATTACAGACCACAAAAAAGTGACAGAACACAAGGGCCTCAACCCTTGGACCAAAACTCAAGTCAAGATGAGTGGCTGAGCACTCACTCACAGCAAAAAGGTTCCTTTGTGTGCAGAACCTGCACAGGTGTATGGCAGCAGCTCACTGCTCCTGACAGGCTGCCCCAGCAGCACTTTGCATTTGACTCATTCATCATCAATAGAGGGAGAATTTCCCTCAAAAATTCCCTACTAAAATATACTGTACCTTAAGATTATTCCAAATGATCAGGTTTTAAAACGATGTGGGTTTCTCCAACCTGAAAACTCCAGGGTTAGTCAGTAACATATGGCAGACATGTTTTAGCTTTAGCTGTTTTCAATTAAAATAAACTAACATCTGCTACATGTGTCGCAGATGATTTTCATGTCTCACAGTTGCAAGACATGAAGTAGATTTACAAGTATCTTAGATTAACTATGAACTATTTAACAATGATAATAATAATAAATTGATACCTGTAGAAGGGTTAGAGAACGCCACCCAAACCTGCAAACACAAAGGAAAAGTTACAAACAAAATGACAAAATACTGGTGTATTTCAGCAAAACAGTTTTAAATTCACCTTTTGGGTTTTTGGGGAAAGCTGACTGAAGCCCAACCCAACCCAACCCAACCCAAAACAGAGTTTAGGTAAACTCTTCCAGCAAGGTGCTCTGCATCAATTCTTTCATTCAGTCCATATTTTGGAGCAGAGCCTCTGATATAAGATTTTCCATTCTTCTTCTTAGTTCTTGGGTCTTTTTTAACATCAGATGGAGCCAAAGGTTCATTTTTCACTGGTCAGAAGCACTCTTTAGCTTATTTATCAGTAGTAGATATCACAGAGCTGCTGTAAAAGGGTTAGACACCAACCTAAAACCTGAAAACTCCAGGGTTAGTCAGTAACATATGGCAGACATGTTTTAGCTTTAGCTGTTTTCACAAAATAAACTAACATCTGCTACAATTGCCGCAGATGATTTTCATATCTCACAGTTGCAAGACATGAAGTAGATTTATCTTAAATTAACTATGAACTAATTAACAGTGATCATAATATAAATAATAATAATAATAAACTGATACCTATAGAAGGGTTAAAGAACACCACCCAAACCTGCAAACAAAAAGGAAAAGTTAGAAACAAAATGATAAATTACTGGTGTATTTCAACAAAACAGTTTTATATTCACCTTTGGATCTTTGGGAGAAAGTTGACGGACATTCAACCCAAAACACAGAGTTCAGGTAAACTCGTCTGATTGCATCACAATTTTCCTTAATTATGCACTTGTTTCAGTTTTACTATTACCCATCACCCCAAACCCGCATGAAACGCAATACAAGGACCCAAAACCAAGTGCCACCTGTAGAAATTAAACATTAAAATCTAGTCCACATTTAGACCAGATCAACCCAACAGAGACCACACAGTCTCCATTAAAGTGTGTGTGTAGAATATGACAAATTTGAACCAGTTTAGGCCCAAATCTGAGCCATTAAAATCCTCAGCATTCAGATCTTGTTTTGAGAAGACACGAGGTAAAGAATAAAAAAAATGAATAGATGTTTTAGGACTTGAGGCTTACATCATGACCATTGTACAGTTGGATGCATTTGCGTACGGTGTTATATTTCCAGGATAGATGAGAGATTTTAATTTTTAAGTAGGTTTTCATCCTATTTGAAACCTTTGATGAATACTTTTTGTATTGTACTTGTTTAAATTCGCATGTTTGAGTATTTTTATGGCAGGTCCTGTACCATCCTTATATCATCCATGTTTGGAAAGTGATCATTTAATTCCCACAAATGTACCATTCATTTCATATAATTCTGAGGCATTGTGTTCCAGTTCATTGAGCCAAGCTTGGTGCACATGTTTAAACCTTTTCATTGCAATTTGTTTCATTTGAAAAACATTTCCCCCCCCACAGTTTCACCCTTTGTGATAAATGACATTTTCACACATCAAAATCCCGAGAGATTTTATTTGAGACACGTTTTGCTTTTGTTTCATGAGTTTCGTTTGTGGCACAATTTCCTTCATTTTACTGACAAAACCTTTTGCATTTGTTTTCATAAAAGGCCTTTGTGTAAGATTCCTTTTACCAGACAGTTTCAGGACACAAGGCCGCACCGTCATGTTGCCTTTTATAATCCACCTTTTTTAGTGAGCCATCATTTAAAACACATCCACAGAGTGAAATAGATTTCCTTTCAACAAAAGCATCATTTGAAACTCATCACATCATCGCTTTATTTATTTCAGTTCACTTTGCATGGAGTAAAATACGCAGAAGCAGCAGCTTCATTCATCAAACATTTACAAACAAACAGCAATTTATTATTGCAATAATGATTCCGTATCCACAAACAAGACTCACCTGGACTCGTAAGACTCACCTGGACTCCTCGGTGCTGTTTGTCGTGCTGATGATGATCCGAGTCTCGCTGCAGTTTTGGCGCGTTTTTCTGAATTGTGCGGGTCCTGCGCTTCCGCTCCGCCTTTTCTTTCTTTGTTGCTAAAAACGGCGCGCTGCCGTGAGAGGAGCTTCCTCTGACATAAAGCAGAGTTTGAAGTGACATCAAGAGTGACTTTAGTGAAGCTGTCAACAAACAAAACGAGTTGGCTCGGTGCCACGTCATCAGGTGACAGGTCCCTTACCTGTGCAGGTGAGCGCCATTTTTAAAGAACCCAGCATACATCTGTGCTCACGTGACCACGCCCACCTGGCGGGAATCACCATGACAACTATCCCAAGGTATCTGTCTATGTATCTGTCCAGTGTTTCCCCTAGCTCTTTATAGTTAAAGTGTCGTTAGTTAGAGGTTTATAAAGCCTCAGCTCAATAATATAAACCTTTATAAATTTCATAGGTTTAATTTTCCTGACAGTGTCAGTGTCTCTGTGAACGTCTCACAGACATGAGAATAAAGTGTGTGCTTCACACAGAGTAGAAAGAACAATATTTACTTGCACAGTCTATGAACAGCACAGACACTTCAGGCTTTAAGTCTTTATCAGGACACAGGCTGTTTTATGATCATAGGATCATGTTTGGGTGCAGCACATTCATTTTCAATGAAAAATACCTAAGCTGCCTGATAAACATGAGTATATTGCAGCAGTTCTTTAATCGTGCAAATAGAAAATACTTAAATGCTGCTTGTCAGCCTAAATGATCTGCACATACGAGTGTGAGTCTCATATAGACTTGAGATGATTTTGGCCAATTTGATATTTGACATATTTTGAGAGAACAAACTGTATGTAATATGAAATAAAGCAACAGCACCAACAGTTTATTGAACAATATCTACAATTTATTGTTCAAAACAGCAACTGTAGAGTTTTGAGTCCTCACAGAGGACAGTGGATGTTTGATTCTGTCTAGGGTTACCAGATTTTCAAAATAAAAAATGGGGACGTCCCTGGTTTGTGGTGGTTAATAATAATAAAATTGTGAAACAAGTGCGTAATTATGGAAAATTGTTATGCGCCGTGCACTAATGTGAGCCAGTATAGTAATTTAAAAAAAATGTTTGGTCATGTTTAAGCAGGTTTTCTGTATTTTACCAAAAGAAATGACAATGAATGTATCTCTTTACTGTTGGACAGTCTCAAATTGGTAAAAAAAAAAATAGGGACACCCAGGACATTTCTTGTATAAAACTGGGACAAATCACTGGTTTTGGATAAGTCTGCTGGGACAGGGGACACGGCGCTCAAAACTGCGGCTGTCCTCAGTAAATAGGGACGTCTGGTCACCCTGTGCAGAACCTCTATTATTGAACTAAGTTAGTAGGGGAGAGAGCTATTATCGGGCATGGGTGGATGTTTGATTCTGTCTAGGTTTACCAGATTTTCAAAATAAAAAAAATGGGGACATCCCTGGTTTGCGTTGGTTAGTAATAATAAAACTGTGAAATAAGTGCGTAATTATGGACAATTGTTATGCACGTTGCGCTAATGTGAGTCAGTATAATCACATTTTCTTTGTGTTTGGTCATTTTTAAGCAGGTTTTCTGTTTTTTACCAAAAGAAATGTCAATTTATGTATCTCTTTACTGTTGGCAGGGATCCGAATGGTCAAAAATAGGGACACCTGGGACATTTCTTGTATAAAACTGGGACAAATCACTGGTTTTGGATAAGTCTGCTGGTGACAGGGGACACAGGACTCAAAACTGGGGCTGTCCCCGGTAAATAGGGACGTTTGGTCTCTCTATACATAACCTTTATTTTTGAACTAAGTTAGTAGGGTAGCGAGCCATTATTGGACACGGGTGTATGTTTGATTCTGTCTAGGTTTACCAGATTTTCAAAATAAAAAAAGTGGACATCCCTGGTTTGTGGTGGTTGGTAATAATAAAATTGTGAAATAAGTGTTGTAAATTGTTACGCACTTTGCACTAATGCGAGTCAGTATAGTCAGATTTTCTTTATGTTTGGTCATTTTTAAGCAGCTTTTCTGTATTTTACCAATATAAATGACAATGAATGCATCTCTTTACTGTTGGCAGGTGTCAAATTAGGGTTACTAGGGAAATTTCTTGTATAAAACAGGGACAAATCACTGGTTTTGGATAAGTCTGCTGGGACAGGGGACACAGGGACTCAAAACTGGGGCTGTCCCCGGTAAATAGGGACGTTTGGTCTCTCTATACATAACCTCTATTGTTGGACTAAGTTAATAAAGGAGAGAGCCATTATCGGGCACGGGTGTATGTTTGATTCTGTCAAAGGTGAAGCTCCTCCAGCCTTGGCAGTCGGATGACGTGGCTGAAGGTTGCGGACGCTCCGGCGTGAGTGCAGCTGAATGCGCCCTACACCGCCGCTCTGCCCTGTCATTGGCCCGTTTGCAGCACGTGACCCGAGCTGACCAATCGGGTGCGAGTGCGACGAGCGGCCATATGCGTACGGACGTAGAGCATCCCAAAAATCGCCTCTGTCACACAACCAGGAAGAAGGTGGGATAGCCCTCCAAAGCTAACATCCCAGTCTTTCTGCACACTTTCTCCGACAAATCATGGGCCCGTCCAGGTTGAAATCGGCCCTGGTGGCGTTTCTGGTAGCTCTGGGGTGTTTATTACCGGTGGACGCAGATGAACATGAGCACACGGTAAGACACGGAGGCCGATTGAGAATAACGTAGCCGTGAAAATAATGGACGTTTGTGCTGTGTGTTGTCTGCTAACAGTGTCTTTGTATGCACACTGGGAGACATGACACGTCCCCAGAGTTGCAGTGTTCATTTTCCGTGCATGTTTATTGACGTATCTTGCAGTAAAGCTTAAAATTCGCCACTAAACCTGCTCGCACTTATCGGCCTAACTAGTGCTTATTGCTAGCGGCAGTGGCTAGCCTGTTAGCATGCCAACCCTACAAGCTTTTCCTGACACACACACGTAAACTCAAGTTAGATCACTAAATGCGCTCTCAAATCTACAATGATCACGATCAGAGTTAATGCGTTTTATATTCGTATATTTTCGAAGCAAGGAGATACGAGACAAGAGCACAAAGGTTGTTAAATTAGCCAACATTGAGCTAAAACACCGGTTCAAAAGGCCTGTCTATGTCATATATATTTGTTGACAATTATTTGCTGTTTTCTACGCTTTTATTACATTGTTCTTAGCTCTGAGTCATTCAATATGCTTGTATGAAGTTGCAGCAATGAGTTAAATCATATGAACGACTGTACTTCCTTGATTTACTGCACTTGCTGTTGTGTACACTGGTTCTAATTAATTTTAAGAAAGGAAATGGCATGTAATTGCTTTGGATTCAATGGCTGGTTTGTTTCAAAGGTTAAACCCAGCTTAGATATCAATAGAAATGTAATATTTTTAGAAAATGTTCTCAGCTTTAAGGTATTGAATATTAAGTCATTCATTTTGTCAGATAGGTTCTGTTTTATTGTGCTGTGTTCACATGCACGTCAAAAACTGATCATTATCTGATTTCTGGATGTTTAAGATTTTTTAAATGAGATACAAACTGCAAAATCTGATGTTTGTAATCAGAGAGAGTCTCAGTATGGTCATATTGAAATCAGAAATCAGATGATTTTGTTGTTTACATTTTAATAACTTTACAACTTAAACAAATTATTTAATATTCATTTTGTGCATGTATACACAGCCATTGTTTTCATTTTGATACTGTCAGCATATTTTGTTGCATTGTGTTCAGTGAATTATGAATTCATTCAAAAGCCTATTATAACTTTTTCCTGTTACATCAGTTTACCATGTGAGCTATTTTTCCAAATGAAAACAAACAGTAAATGTATTTATGTTGAATGCTATTGTAACCTGTATACCCACTGCTTTGCAGGAAGCATATCCTGCATGATATAGTGATCAAAGAGCTTACCACAACTTTACAGTTAATTTTTGCATTAATTTGAGTATCATTTTGCTAGACAGTTTTACCTCTCACATTACTACTATAATATCTAGTCTTTTAAATAGTGTCAAAATTCTTTAACATATATCAGATCCTAAAATGAAACTAGTCAGTCAGGCAGGACCAGTGTTGCATTCCAGGACTGTCACAATAAAGGCCTCTGTTCTTGTTTCCTTTCAGTATACAGATAAGGAGGAAGTAGTTTTATGGATGAACACAGTGGGGCCTTACCACAATCGACAGGAGACGTACAAGTATTTCTCGTTGCCGTTCTGTGTCGGCAACAAAAAGACCATCAGCCACTACCACGAGACGTTGGGAGAGGCTCTGCAGGGAGTGGAGCTGGAGTTCAGTGGTTTGGACATAAAGTTCAAAGGTATTTCATGCTGCACTTTTAAATTCATACATTCACCTGATGAGGGCAGTCAGTGCTACGCTACTGATCATGTCCGCACAGGTATTCACACTGAAATATTTATAGTGACGTTAGTGTCCCAAGTTATTATGTAATGCATGGCACAAATTATTACTGTTAAAAACAAATCACAATATACAGAGGTTGAAATTAAATTCTATTAAAAAACAAACTCAAAGTTATAAATGTGAATAGTAAAATGCAACAATATTTTCCATGGTTCTATTAAAACAAACAAACAAAAACGAGATACACCTCCACAAAGACTAAGATGAAATTAAGACACATTTTCTTTACATGTTACTCTTTTTTCATATTGCTGTATAACAGTTATTTTCTCTAAAACAGAGATGATTGTAAAGTGCAGTGTAGGCCCATATTTTGCGTGGGGGTAAACATCTGGAAAACGGAAATACAAAGTTGTGTTTTACTATTATAATGTGATGAAGAAACTGCACTATATGTGACTACTTAGACGTTTGCAGAAAAACATGGCCATGAATGCACATCACATCATACATCATATCTTTTATCTTATATCATTATACTTTTCTTTTTTGTTGTTGTGGATTCTTGTAGCAATCAGTCTACGTCTAAGTTTACAGCAATTTAGTGTTTTTAAATAGCCACCTCCAAATATTGCATATCAGTGATTGGCCATATCATTAGCTCTCTAAAAGATATTTTTTTGATTATACTACACAGTGCCATCTTTTCAGTACAGTTTTGTGATCCTTGGTGCAGCCCTAATCTGGGCTGCCCATATCTACATAGAGAGGTTGCACAGTATCAGGAGTATGTTGCTCTTTATCATTATAATGACACAATGACATTTTTATAGAATCTTACCTTGACATTTAACCAAAATTCTTTCTTAAAATCTATTTGGCACTTTTACCTAATCATATCATGTATTTTTTACCCTTACAGATGAAGTGATGCAGACAACATACTGTGAAATTGACCTAGACAAGAACAAGCGGGACGCCTTTGTTTATGCCATAAAGAACCACTACTGGTACCAAATGTACATCGACGACCTTCCCATCTGGGGTGAGTGACTTCAGACTATGACCTGTTTTATCTATCACAATGTGGAAGGAGTTTACTTTCCTAATGATAAATCTTAAGTCACATTCACACATGCTGCCTGACCTGGGAATTTACTTGCATTTTGCCAGATCAGGATCATGTGTGAATGAAGCCAGAACCGATTTCCCTGCAGTTTCGATCTCGTTACTTCCTAGGTTAATGGTTTGTGTGAATAAAGTAAAAAAACTGGCAGTACCACAGCTCGTTTTCCTTGGTTATGAGCTTGGTTTCTTGAGTTCTGATCCTGGTTTCCTTGGCTATGACCTGATTTCCTTGGTTATAATCTTGGGTTCCTGGTTACTTTACATGGTTGGGCTCCAGTCTCAATCCATTTAAAATGATGCAGTAGTGTTTTGCTTTGTGAGAGAGTGCAGAGAGCCAAATGCCAGGTCATGTGTCAATAGCTCAGACCTGGTAATGTTTTGGAACTGGTACATGTGTGAATGGGAATCACTGCTGAGTGTTTTGGCATTTTGTACCTGGTAATTTACTGGAACTATGTGGCTTATATTGTCTTATCCCATTGTCTATGCTACAAACAGGCATATTGGGTTTATTTTATTGCCTGTGGTCAGAGAAACCAGTTGTGTCCTTGTGGTAATGACCCAGAGAAATACACAAAACACAGTTATCCTATGACCTGCTGAAGTTGTGCAGGTGTATGCTCTGTTGATATCTGTGGATTCTTTGGGTTTAGCAATAAGTGGGATTCAAATGCTTGGACATTTATTTGCTAGTCATGATATGAAACACTATAGAGACTGCACACTTTACACTTTTTGACAACCCTAGATAAATAAAAGTCACCTGGTACTGAACATACACATCAGTGTTAAGTCATCTTGTCACATTACAAAAAAATCAAATTTGTTTTTTATATTAGGAAAAGGCTTGATAGTCCATACCAGTTTTGAAATCTTACCATACCAATGAGAAAATGCATAGTGGTGCAATAATCAAAACATGGATCAACTATAATCACTCAGTGTAGTTTCACATTTTTAAACTACACTGAATTTAAGCCACACACACACCACACCCCTCTGTATGTATTAAATATCAGTGGCCTGTATAATTTTATGATATCATCTGTAACCCAGTAATTTTGTTTGTCGTGTCTATCTGATTTATAGATAAGATGCATCAACCTAACTTGAATTTACTCATGATTGTTGAAACTTGAAATGCTGCCTTCTGTGGATGGACTGGTCCCAAATCAAACAGCTTCCTTTTTCATGTGTCACTTACTGTTTAATAACATTAAATAAACAAAGACTTTGTCCTCACATCCTGTTGAATGAGAACTGACTCAGATGTATTTGTCCAATGACGTTTCTCTCACATTGCCTGAATTATTTAACAGTGGTGTGTTTTAATGCTATTTATGCACAGGTGAATTTGACAGTGTGGAAAATAGGGGTGTGCAAAAATACTAAAATGTCGATATATTGTATTGTTTAATGTGATGATACAGTGTCGATATCATGGGCTGCTATATTGATATTTTGCTAAGAGTATTTTTTGTTATATGTTACTAAATTATTTTGTTACAGTGCTACAGTTTTATTGCTTGTTTAGTCGAAAGATGCAACACGTTTGACATTTTCGCTATTTTGATGATTAAAATGTTTGTGTTTCATATTCACTTTGCACAAGAAGTGGTTTAACAAAGACTTTTAGTATCACAGCCATGGTCGTATTGAATCAAAAGTGCACTATATCGAGATATGTATCGTAATGTGGCCTATGTATCGAAGTATTTATCGTATCGGTAACTTGTTGAGGTTACTCAGCCCTCGTGAATAATGTGCCTGCGTCATCTGTTCAGTTTATATAACCCCATTAGTTGGGTAATTAATTGAGATATATCTGTATCTCGGTGGTATTTATTTATTGCAATGTTATGGACGCTAATGGTGCTGTAAAAACTGTGATGTTTAATGCAGCTCTATCCTCAAATACAGACATTTTCCCCACCCACTACTCCTATTGATTATTCTCTGTAAGGCTTGTATTAAAAGGTCCTATATTCTGCAAAATTGGCTCTTTTAAGCTTTTAGCCATGTTATAATGTTGTTTCCTCCTCAAAAATACCTGGAGTTGTGTTTTGTTTCATTCACTTGAAGTGGTAGTTTTTTAGTTAGTTAACAGGTACTTTTTTTACCTTTTAGTTCAGTAGAGATTGGCAATTCCAGGGCTGAAATCATCCACATGTTTCTAGTGAAGTATATAGAGTTTAGAAACACAGTGGAGTGTTTCCTGTATCACCACATGACATCACAAGGTGTCGGTGAGTGTTTTCTGTTTGAGAGAAGAACTCTGCCTAAATATACCTAAGGGTTTGTGTGTTAAAAATGTGTGAATGAAACAAAACACACATCTGGGTAAGTTTGTGATTAGGAAACATTATAGCCTAGATCAGATAATAGGGTAATATGGGCCTTTTAATCATTCACAGTGAATTTTGAACTTACAAAAGAAGTTGACCTTATTTTCCCTTCAGAGGCAATAGAAAAAACTATGTAAATAAGAAAACACCAAATGGATTTAAATTGAAAATGTGATCTGGCTTCACCTCTATTGAGCCTTTACTTCCATCCATACTGCCACATTTTAAAGCATTACGATGTCTTTTTTTAAATAACAGTGTCTTAAAGTTTGCTTAATCAGAGCAAAGGATCCCTCAACAACAATGCAACAATGTATTAATACACAAGACCTTGAAATTTGATAAAGCAAAATCTAGCCTTTTAATGTTGGTAATAGAATATCATAGGGCGTTACAGTAATTACAATATAAAAACAAATATTTTCCCAAGTATTTTTGCATGATACTCTTCAATTGAGCTGGAAAAATGTATCAGAAACATGTTTTAGGGCTCGTAAATCCCCTGAATCTCCATACGTCAAGCGAAGGCCAGTCGATAAAAGAACTATCTTGACATTTGTTCTTATTTTTCTTTTAGGAATTGTTGGAGAGGCGGATGAGAACGGAGAAGACCATTATCTGTGGACGTACAAGAAGCTGGAGATCGGGTTTAATGGGAACAGGATCGTGGACGTGAACCTCACCAGTGAAGGCAAAGTCAGACTTATCCCAAACACAAAGATCGCCATGTCCTATTCAGTAAGTACTGACAGTTTTAGCCTCGTTAAAGAAGACATATTGGGCTTTTCGCGTCTATATAGCTTTAATCTATGTCACCTGTGGATCATTATGTTATATTTTGGATATTTTAAATCACATATTGATCTCAAATGAAACAAGTTTGCTGAATTCCTGGTTATAAAATTGCAGCGCCCAGTGAAGTATTAGGAGCAGATTCCCCCCTGCCCCCTTTTATGTTATGTAGGAGCAAATGTCATCACAACAAAGTTCTGCATGCTGTCAGTCCTTCCTGTGGATAACAAGCAGCTACAACTTTGAGAGGGTAAATGAGAAGAGGAAAAAAATATAACATGTATATAATATATGGGGAAAAACTCTAAAAAAGTTTGCACAGATTTTGCACGATATGTCTCCTTTTAAGTGGTAAAGGAGAAATTCAATTTGTCGGACAAAATTTTATTGTGTTGAATATGTATTCACAGCTCATCCAAGCTGAAGGATGAGCTGCAAAAACACATTCAACCAAAAAAACTTTTATCTGACATATTGAATTTCTCTTTTGCCCTGGATTCTACCTGGACGACTGGGGGATTTTTCACACTTTCCTTTAAACTGAAACCATTTGAATTTACAGGAAATTATAACGGATTATTTTATTTCTCAGGTTAAATGGAAGAAGTCAGATGTGAAGTTTGAGGACAGATTTGACAAATACCTCGATCCATCCTTCTTCCAGCACAGAGTGAGTCAAAATGTTTTATTTTTTTATTACCATATCATTAAGTCATGTTTCACTCAAGTAATTTGAGTCGTTTGCTCCTTTGAGCCAGGTTTTATGGCACAGATACCCGGATATTTAACTGTGAGAATGGCCACATATGTACACATGTCACAAATGTAATCATCATATATCAACTGATTAAATTCATTTCCAGTTAGTATCTCTGCCTATATTTCAATCTTTACAGTAGGAAGAAAGTAAACAACGTAAAAAGCAATGTTCATCTCAATACTGATTTGATATGATTCTCTTTTCTGGACCATTGTATCTCTTGTGTATCTGATAATTGGCTTTATCTTAAAATTTACCAGAGTTATCTCTTATTTTTGTGAGATCATGTATCTGTAGAGAGTACAGTATGAGAGCTGTGTGTCTGCTCTTTATCATGAGTCTGACAACACTGATGGCTCTTAGTCTTGATCCTGACCTTTTAAAAGGACACTGCACTGGCACCATAATGACATACATCCACCAGCTGCTACTCGCACTCCAACAACTCATTTTCTGGCATGTTAAACAGTATTTTAAATTTAGACCAAGGTACAGGCCCTGTTTAAGGATTTAAATGTAAAAGAACATTTCTACTACAAATAATTGGTGCTGTAAACATGGTGGAAAAACCCCCTTGGTTCCATTGTTATTTCAAAGGACATTCCTCTATAGGTGTTGAATTGCCACTTTAGCAAATCAATGTCAGTGTGTATTGTTGTGCTTTAGAACTATTACACTTTTTGTTTGAGCTATTGATTTTACGGCACCGTGTAAAAAAAGAACTACAGAAACACACTTCTCATATATTTCCTTTTACAATCCACTTTATTTACTTACATCTATTATATGCAACCTGCTTAAATTTTTCTTTTGGCTACAGGTCATACTTTTGCTTGAAGTTTGATGTAAAATATTTGTAGTATGTAATTTTTACTCTACAGTGACCCAGACATGTCTCTGTGATTTACAGTTGAAGCATATTGAAGCATAAGTACATTTTTAGGGCTTGTACTGAACAGGCTTGAACCAGATGAATTTGGGGCGAGCTAAAAATATTTTCAGAATATCAGTATTCAGCTGCTCCCTCAACAAATCCAGGGAAGGTATTTTAAATGTGTAATAAAATGTGTGGTAGGTCTCGCCTCGACTTGTTCTGTGAAGTTTAACCCAGAGGGATCTTGCTGTTGTGTTGCTTTTTATCTCTCCTAATGTAGTCCCATAAATTCCTGTTCATTTTCTGTTTTAGATTCACTGGTTCTCCATCTTTAACTCCTTCATGATGGTCATCTTCCTGGTCGGTCTGGTGTCCATGATTTTAATGAGAACGCTGCGGAAAGACTACGCCCGATACAGCAAAGAGGAGGAAATGGATGACATGGTAAATTACACTAATCAAATCCTTGTGTCATTTTGATTATGGATGATTTGTGTCAGACCTAGGCCTAATTAAAAGTATACTTTAAGGATATATAAAGGATTTTTTTTTTTTTTATTGGATATGAGAGAGATATTGAAAAATGGAAAGTACAAACTGCAACAGCTGTTTTGTATATATGCAGAGGATGTGCTGTAACAATCAAAGCAGTTCATATAAAGGTATATATTAGCAAACTTTTGTGCACTACTTAAATTACAATGAAGACGTTTAAAGGTACATTTTAGCACATTAGATTGCCATAGTGTCACCCAAATATTGTCATTATAATAACAATAATAACAGTAAAAAAAAAAAAACATCTACCGTATTTTTTGGATGATAAGACGCTCCAGCCAAAAAATTTGTAATGAAGAAGAAAAAACATATATAAATCGCGCTTTTTGGGGGAAATGTATTTTATAAAATTAGAGACCAGGACCTGACATTTCATCTTGAAAGGCAAGTTATAGTAAAAACAATAGAACAGAGAACAACAGGCTGCTGTAACACCGTAAGAGTAGCGCAAACAAGTTTACAAAACTCTCGATCTCACTCCAAATCACTAAATCCATTGAATTCTTCATCCTCGGTGTCACTTCTGAGCAACTCTGCAACCTCCGGAGGTAAATGTAGCGCCGCTTCCTCTTCTGTGTAGCTGTCATCAGATTCAGCATCAGTTCCAGTTAGAATAATTCCGGCCTTTCTGAATCCTGACAGGATGGTTTCAGTTGTTATTGAAGTCTAGGCTTTGTCGATCCAACCAGTGACTTAGAGGAAAGTTGCTTGGTGCACCCAGGTTCCCGTGAAGCTGTGTTCTCCATCCCCGCCTTTCGCCAGTCCCTCACAAGTTTCTTGCTCACTCTGAACTTTCTTTCTGCTGCTCAATTACCATTTTCGGCTACATATTTCACTGCTTGCGGCAGGACAGAGGCTCTTTCTGCAAGAGACATGCACAGTACAGGTAGATTTTCCCCATTGCCCATGGGTGTTAAATATATTTAAAAAAAAACATTAACATAGAGATTAAAAAATGTAAAACTATTATCTTTTGTATGGGAAAAAGTCCCCAAAATGTTTCATGTAACAGAAATCTGAAACCCCTGAATAGTTTAAATTGTACTTTCTCTGATTCAAAGTTTCATAACTGTTTTTAATTTTGTGTCAACAGGACAGAGATCTGGGGGATGAGTACGGCTGGAAGCAAGTTCACGGAGATGTGTTTCGGCCCTCCAGTCACCCGCTTATCTTCTCATCTCTCATTGGCTCGGGTTGCCAGATCTTCTCCGTGTCCCTCATTGTCATCATCGTGGCCATGGTGGAGGATCTGTACACAGAGTGAGTGAGACCAGATTTTCCTGATTCTCTGCGAGTGGCTCCACCGAGACTATTGTGATGGTAATGGAATAAGAGTAAGACCAGAACCAGAGAAAGTTCAGTGCTTGGGTTTCAGATAACATCTACAACAGGCTGTAATATTTAACACTAGGGATGTAACAATAACCAAAATATCGTGATATCGTATCGTCAAAAGTCTCAGTTATTTCTTATTTTGTGGACCATCACAGTATGTCGAATTACAAGTTTCTCATCTTAAATTCATTGTTATGGTGCAGCAATAGCTAAAAAAAAAAACAGCGGGAACTACATCGACCATGAGCCTTTGCTCCGTTTTGGTGCAAACTACATGAAGAAATAGGAGTTCTAAGCACTTTTAAATCTTAGTTCTTTGGATTAAGTCTTGGCAAAGCATTTTAAGAGGAAAAATATTTTGTGTCTGGTTTGTTTCCTTTCAGTACGCTAGTCACCAGGGTTATTCAGGGATAAATAAAAATGAAATTTTTGGTTTTATCAAGAAATTAAGGAACTAGCACTCACTGGCACCACAGTGGCATATATGCACCAGCTGCTGCTCACACTCCAACAACTCATTTTCTGGAAAGAGTATTTTAAATTTAGACGAAGGTACGGGCCTTTTTTGAGTATTTAAATGTAAATATTTCTACTACAAATAATTGGTACTGCCAACATGTTGAAAAAGCCCCCTTGGCTCCATTGTGATTGCAAAGGACATTCCTCTATAGGTGTTGAAAAAAGTAATATTGTTGTAATACAGTGAGTTCTTAAATCTGGTCCCAGGTTCAACATTTGTGCATTCACCTTAGTCCATTGCAAAGTCCAATGTAACCAATAGGAACAACTGGCTTCTGCCCCCGTCTAGGATTTTGCCTTCATCACAGTTTACAATCCGAAAGGTGATAGCGCCTATCGCCTCACAGCAAGGAAGTTCCATGTTTGCTTTGTGAGAAATTTGCATATTTTGTGTTGTCTGGTTGGGTTTCCTTTCAGTACGCTAGTCACCAGGGTTATCCATGGATAAACAAAAATTAAATTTGTGGTTTTATCAAGAAAAAAAAAGTAAAAAATTAAGGAACTACCATGTATTCCAACATCTTTTCATTACAGGTCTTGGGGGGTTACAGGCAATGAAATCTTACTTTATTGACCAATATAGATCTTGTCCTGTAAGATCAGTTGGCACTTCCAGTTTGCAGGTGATGTTACGGGTTGTATAAAAGCAAACTAATACTAAATTATGCAAGAGTTATACACAAGAGTTCTGTACATCAGCCATCATTAGTTTATTCTTGTGCTCATGTGTTGTTTATTTCTGCAGGAGAGGATCAATGCTGAGCACGGCCATATTTGTGTATGCAGCCACCTCTCCCGTCAACGGATACTTTGGGGGAAGCTTGTACGCAAAACAAGGAGGTAATCATTTAAATAGTATTCCTTTTAAGTCATGGTAAAGATCTAGTAGTTTGCATTTTCTTTTTGCTAATGCTGTTGCTCTCATTTTGTCACTCAGGGAGGAGGTGGATAAAGCAGATGTTTATTGGGGCGTTCATGATCCCTGCTATGGTGTGCGGGACGGCCTTCTTCATAAACTTCATTGCGATTTATTACCACGCCTCCAGAGCCATCCCCTTTGGGACCATGGTGAGTTTCGCACAACGACACCTCCCTGAAAACCAAATATTCTGTCAAAACCACAGAATATGAAAAGCATGCTCTGACCCAATAGAAAATAGTCTAGCAGTCAAATGCATGGTTCTACTTAAAATCATAGTTTTTGTTTTTAACTTTCTCCAAAAGTCTCTTATTGACTATAGAAGTTAGAAATATGATTTAAATATTGCACTGAATCTTAAAGAAGACAATATCGTGCTTGAGCCTGCTATATACTGTAAATTCTGGACTGTAAGCTGCAACTTGTTTCTCACACTTTGGACGGATTCTTTGTTTGGCACATTGTCCATTCATATATATGGTCTATGGTTTGGCAGCACAGCGGATACGTGCAGCCTGAGTGCAGAAAACGTCGCTGTCTGTGCGGGTAACACATGGATCTAGGGTTAAAATGAAGTTGCTACACTAGTGATATTGTCAGTGCACTGAAATAGTTTATTGCCGTGTGATAAAATAAGTTATGATGCTAAATTAACATTAGTGAGGGGGATACGTCTAACCCGTATGTGTAAATGACGAGAAGAAACGTCTCAAGCTTCCCACCCCCGAGAGACTCTGAAATCTGCTGAAATCCTCCAAGACACTGACATGATACAGACAGGACAGAGACTCTTTCTGCAGGAGACATGCGGAGTAGAGCGCGGGGAGAAACAGGGGTGAAGCGCCGAGGAAGATGCTCGTTTGATTGTGTTTTGAACATTTATTTTGCGCTTCATACACACACCCTCCTCATGGAAAACACATGCAGATGATGCAGCTTTTAAGTTAAAGGCAAAGGCTGTTGAAGAAGGAAACAAAGCTGCTGCACGTGAGATCGGCATCAATGAGTCGATGGTGAGATTTTGACGACGGCCGCGTGACGAACTGACTCAATGCAAAAAGACGACAAAAGCTTTCAGAGGTGATAAAACTAGACGACCCGAACTTGAAAACGTTCTTGAAGACATGGACACTTGCGGCTTATATTCTGGTGTGGCCTGTCTATGTACAATTTAACATTTTTTAATTTTTTTATTTTGTTGATGCGGCTTATATTCAGGTGAGCTCAATAGTCTGGAAAATACAGTAGTTATAATCTATGACACCTGTGGATCATTGTTATCATTTGGACATTTTAAGTCGCAATAGAAAAACAATTTAATAAAAGAAACTAGTTTGTGAACTTCTGCGTTAGAAAACTGTGGTCCAAAGTGGGAGCTGATGTCACCGTAAAAAGTCACAGCAAACAATCATCTCCTATGGATACGCTGACACATAGTTGCAGATGTTTTTTCATTTGTACCAAACTGACTACACCGCTCTCTCTGCTGAATCATATGTGTATTAACGAGAAAATAATATTGGAGAACAAAGTAAGTACAGAGCAGTTGGTGTAAGCCACGAGGTTGATTGGAAATATAGCGTAACTATTACTCAAACATGCGCAAATAACGCCAAATACAACTTTGAGAGGTTAAATGAGAAATGGAAACAACTAGAACATAGTTTAAAGCTCTGAAAAGCCGATTTTGCAGATTAGGTTTGCTTTAAAGAAAATCACAGAGTATGAAGAGCATGTTCTGACCCAATAGATAATATAGATTTGTGGTCTGTGTAATTAAGTTGAAAAATGATTAAAGTTCACTCAAAGGTTATCTGAAATTACAGAAATGTTTGAGGCTTATGAAAACCTAGATACTGAATTGTTTTCAAGTCGTCACAGCAATGCATCAAGATGTAAAATGTACAAAAACACAAAAGTGAATGAATATTATGCGATGCAATGTATAATATATTTAAAATGTACAGATTTAGCTAAACATATAAAAGTTGTAGAACGTTGTCGCTGTGATCAATTTGCATATTAGCATTCACAAATATGTATTTTAGGCTACGTTTATATGATGATGGTCTGAACAGAAGACACAAAAGTGGCATCGCGCCTTCACTTTTTATTCCGCGTTTAGACGAACGTTTTCGGGAGGAAATCTGCGTGCATACAGTAACGCAAAAGTGTGTGAAATTCCATTGTGAATGCATGCCAGGCGGCTCGGTGGTGACGCCAGGTGGTGATGTATGTGACGTAAACGTGTACATGACATGAACAGAGTTTTGCATCTTGGGCAGAGTAGACAGAAACACTTTGGCAGAAGATATTCAACTTTTCCACTCTGGAGCGTAATTTCAGATTTTTGCGTTTTTAAGCCTTCCAAAAACGCCGTCACCGTCTAAACGAAAGGCATTTCTGATAAAATATTTTGTTTTTACCTGCAAGCGTTCTCATGTAAACAGGCCTTTAGTATTGCCATAAATGTCCAATATTCTGCAGCAGTAATGTTTGTAAGAAACGGTAAGAAAACGCCTCTGAACCTCTGATTATGATTGTTGTAGAGAGATAGGCGTTTGATGATTATGTAATAAAATGTATGCAAAGTATTTCTTAACATCTGATCAGTATCTTGTACAAGAGCATTGTTTCAACGGAAGCAGTAATGCACATGACGTCTTTCTAAATCTACAATATCTATATTTTGCCTGGATGGATTGATGAGTTAAAAATATTCCCCCTCTGTCTGTAGGTGGCCGTGTGCTGTATCTGCTTCTTCGTGATTCTCCCACTGAACCTTGTAGGAACTATTTTGGGGAGAAATCTGTCAGGACAGCCAAACTTCCCCTGCAGAGTCAACGCTGTCCCTCGGCCAATCCCTGAGAAAAAATGGTATGAATACAACAGGTTTAAATTATTTTATCACTCATCATAGTTTAGCTTTGAAATTCTGCATTGGATTATTTCTGTGCAATGTTTTTTTTTTTTTTTTGTATGGGCTTGTCTTTTTTGTGCTATAAAAAACAAACCGTTCAGTCCCAATTGTTATTTTAAGATGCACTTTGTAAATATTCTTTAGAAAGGGTGATCTATCTTGCATTAATTCAGTTTGAGTTGTTTTCTCGCTAAAAATAACTTGGAAAAACATGCCTTCTTACTGTGAGTGGGGTCGCCTCTCCGCAGACGTGACCTGCTGTGACCCTATACTGTGGAACATTCCATGCAAAGCTATAACGTCTCAGTAGTCTGATTATCGCTCTGATTTTATACTCGATGTATACATTCTTGGCTGGAAAGGAGTGTACTGTATTGTATCAGGATATGATAAACAGGAAATATGATCACTTAAGTTGACATGTTTTATCTGTTTGGGGCTGAACAACAAAGTTACAAGTGAAAATGTCTGAGATAATGGCCAGATATACAGGGGAGTTGCCAAAAGGAAACTACCACAAGAAAATATTCTCTAAACAGAATACCTCTACCTATGTCATAAATTGTCAGCATTTTCACCCAAAATGCAGGGATAATTTCTGCAGAAGGATGACATTTTTCTGACAGTGTAAACACTGATTTAACAAACTGTCATTATCATGTATCACTGTCATGTTATCAAGTGTTTTTATCTGTCAAATCATAGCTGCAGTGTGATTTAGACAAGTTATGACATGGCAACAATAATGTAATGTAATAATTAGGGGTGTAACGATATCCAAGTCTCACGATACGATATCATCACGGTATGAGCGTCACGGTACGATATTTATTGCGATATCGTGGGAAAGCTCACGATTAGGGATGTAACAATATCCAAATCTCTTGGTACGATATTTTCACAATATACATCTCACGGTACGATATTTATTGCGATATTTTGTTAATATGCTTCTTTTTCCTCTTAAAATGCCTTGACAAGACTTAATCCAAAGAACTAAGACTTAAAAGTGCTTAAAACTGTTATTTCTTCTTGTGGTCTGCACTGAAATCGAGCAAAGGATCATGGTCTATGTAGTTCTGTCTGTCTTTTTTTAGTTATTCCTGCGCCATAACTCTTAATTTAAGCAAAGAGACTTGTAATTTGATATATTGTGATGGTCCACGATATTATTGTGAAAACTTTGGCGATACAATATCACGATATTTCGGTTATTGTTACACCCCTAGTCATCATAATAATAATAATAATAATAATAGAAAAGTAAATAAATAGAAAAATAAATAAATAGAAAAATTTAAAAATAGGAAAAATTTAAAAACTAGGCAAGGTTTTTAGTAATGTCTTAAATTTAATCATGCTGACTATTCCCTACTTAAATGTGAAGTCTAACCTGTTCTGTTCACTTAAACATTAAATGTCATTATCTAATTGTACATGTCGTCTGTTTTAGGTTCATGGAGCCGGCCGTCATCGTGTGCCTGGGAGGAATTTTACCATTTGGATCCATTTTCATTGAAATGTACGTCGAAAACATAATAATAATAAGTAAAAGTTTATATTTTTAAATGAACACTGACTTTATCCTTGTTGTTCTGCAGGTACTTTATCTTCACGTCGTTTTGGGCCTATAAAATCTATTACGTGTACGGCTTCATGATGCTGGTGCTGGTGATCCTGTGCATCGTCACGGTCTGCGTCACCATCGTGTGCACGTACTTCCTGCTAAACGCCGAGGACTACAGATGGTGAGTGATTAGATCTGGTGTTATTTTGGAGTTATTGTGTAGATTAAATATTTACTTATATCTGAGTTCTGAGTAAGAGTTATTTTAAAGCATTCAAGTTGGAGAAATGTCTGTTTGGTGATTGATCCATTCTTGTTTTATTAATTAAAGACAAATTTACAAACACTGTACAGAAAAAAAAATGTGGCTGTTTGCTGTAGGTGTTCCAGTTAAGCAGGTAGAGTAAGCGACTAAGCCTGATGAAGACCAGTCGTGGTCGAAACATGGTCATTTCAGCCATTTAAATAAGGCCTTTTAACTATACTTTTCCTTGTGTGATTTTTATTTCTTTGGAGTGCCTGGATTTTGTTGTGTTTAAAGATTACAAATACAGTGTTGTAGTTCTTTAAGAGCAATGTCAGTAGTTTAAATGAGGTAGTGTAGCTTTTGTAGCTTTTTAAAACAATATTTAACTAGATTTTTTCCCTTTTATTAAAAAAAAACAAAAGCAGTTATACAATATTTTTGACATGTAATTGTATGTGGGTTTCAGCTTCCTGTTATATGCAGCATTTTGAGGTTTTCCTGTTCAAAAGATAGAATAGATAGATATATATAATAGGTAGATAATTGCTATGGCAGCGTTCACAACTTTTCATCATTCTGACAGCCAAGAATAGTTTGATTAAGTTACTTCTGACTGATACTTCCATAAAAACTACAAGCCAGTGTCCTCTTAATGCCAAATCAATCTTTGAGAAAATGTATTAGATGGAAGGGCATCTGACACAAAATAAAACATAGAAATGTGAAAAAGATAAAGCTCATTTGTTTTTAAAATGTGTTCGTGTTCTTTCAGGCAATGGACCAGCTTCTTGTCTGCTGCCTCCACGGCGGTCTACGTGTACATGTACTCCTTTTACTACTATTTCTTTAAAACCAAGTGAGTTTGCACACGTCACACAGCACAGGTTTGATGAGTGAAGAGTCCTGGTCTGACCAGTTTTCGTCGTATCTTTTTCAGGATGTACGGGCTTTTCCAGACGTCCTTCTACTTCGGCTACATGGCAGTTTTCAGCACTGCTCTGGGAATCATGTGCGGTGAGTTTGACTGCTGGGAATGTGTTATAAATGAGCTGATTGTGTGGATGTAGTAACAATCATTCAGAGTCAGTCATTCTAAAACTATTTGACCGCTCACACAGCTTTCTACATTTATCTGTGTAGGAGAGGACTCATGGGATTGTAAATGCGCGACACTATAATGTATCTTTAGCTTGTACTGGCAAACTCAAATAAATATACAGGTGCAAGTGCAAAACAAATCACTTAATTTGCATACAATGTGGTTTTTGAAAGTATTGTGGTTTGTTTCAATAGAATTTTGTCCCTTGACACACATTTCCATTGGAAATCTTTTGCAAATGATACGTGTTTGTGAGCCTGCATTGACGTTCACATTAGTAAGAGCTGGTGTTTGTTCTGCAGGTGCTGTGGGGTACATGGGGACAAGTGCCTTTGTGAGGAAGATCTACACAAACGTGAAAATCGACTAAAGACGCGAAACCACCACAGAAACAGGGATCTGAACGGATTTGCCTCCAAGAATCTGGGAAGACGGCGGCACAAGTCATTCTTTAGTACTTTTCTTTCTTGCAAAGAGATCGAGAGAATCTCACTTTATACAATGTAGTTTTTTCCATTTCTTTCTGAATGAATTTCTGCGCCGCTAAATGACTAGAGCAAATCTGTGAGCGTGAGAGAGGTTTGGTTTTTATCTAAAGCTTTCAAAAATAATAACATACTACGGTGGGGCGATGGTGAAGGCTGCATTGGCTCCTTATTGGTTTCTTCCGGCCCAGTCCCACCTGAGACCAGTGAACATACATGTGTATTGATGGACATAGTGTAGCTCTCTTCAGTGAAGAGGCCTAAGTGTATTGAAAGCCTTTGTTTATTGTGTCAGGAAACATTGGAGTTGGGTCTGTGCCCGTTTTCCTGACGTCGTTTCTATTTTGTATCCTTGAAGTCACATAGCGTTACTACCACAGTGCAGTAGTTTGTTCAGATTACTTTTCACCTCAACAAAAACAATAAAAAAAAACTGTCACTTACAAATCATTCCCCCATTGCCATTTCCTCCTCTTTGATTCCCTGTTACAGTAGCAGTCCATGCCGTCTATATATTTTAGTCTCGCTGTTTCACTGTACAGCCCGGAGGTAGGTACAGTCAGAACTGAATTTTTTTTTTTTTTATAAAGAGGACGCTTGTCGTGGTCTTGTTTTCCCCATTTAAGTCTTGTTTTCTTAATGTTTGGGTTTGAATGAAGTCTACTTGTAAAGATAATATATGAATGAGGGGGGAGTGTATATAACCTTAATAATGTACCTTTAGATGTAGATCCCAAATGTATTTTCGTTGTACAGGTTTACTACAGGGTGTTTTTTTAATGAATCATTCAGTTCAAAACAATAGATTATATTTTGGTTTTCACTTTCTTCCTCTGTTCGGTGCTTGCGGTGGGGCTGGTGGCGCTGTTACATCTTGCCTGGAATTGCATGAAATTTTCACCTCGTCATACTTCTCTCACTGCTGTTTTTAATTTCCATACGATATCAGTCGGTTGGGTTTTTGAAAAAGGCCTGTTTATTCCAACTGTGTATTTACTATTTTCAAACAAGGTCAGGAGTATATTGTAGCTCTTGTAATTCGCTTTGTTTGGGCATCAAAGCGCATGGACAAGAAAGGACAGATTTTTACTCTATTTATTCAATTGTTACTTTAGATACACACACAAAACTACCCCTATCTTTACAAATTTGTTCATATTTTCCCTCTTAAGTGAAATGTAAGCAGCACTATTGCGTGTCAAATGGACTGCCTAGAAGTTGAGCATGAATCCAGTTTAAATTCTTGTTTTTTTTTACACATTTTGGTCCATGAATGCAAGTGTGAGGCTAGACAATAGAGAGACTTAGGTAGGTTTAGAGATTATGTAGAATTAGGGTATGGTGTAGCAAGTAGATTAAGGGTTACTGCACTCGTAGCAATTGAGAAAACACGAAAGACGTCATAGTAAGTTTGATAAAGCTTGTGCTGAAGTCGGGAGGATAGTAAATATATAAACTAAAAGTGTAGTTCGCTTGTTTGCTGTCCATTGATAATTACATGAGCTACAAATTTACACAACTACATTGAGTCCTTGTTTCGAAAACCCGTATCAAAATCGGTACCTCCATTTTAAAACATACATTTTGCATCTCTTGGTTTAATCCATTATTTAAAGCTTTAAGGCTCTACATCTTCGGGTAAGCCATCTCCCTCCTGTTTTGTTCTCTGCCTAACCCTAAAACATCTTGTGAATGTCAAAGAGGAATGGGGCAGTGTGCTTTATTTCTACATACTGTACAAAGTGAAGTTTATGGACACTTTTGATGTTTTCATAGCCACACAACATGCCAGAGTGTTTCGATGCTTTGTTCCCACTTTGTGTAAATACCGTATATACCCTAAATGTATGAGAAGTGGCAATGCCTTTTTTTCTAATTTCCAGTTCTCCCCCCACTGAAGTTGATTTGGCACCTCATGTTGTGTACCAATGTCTGATTATAGACATTTTGAACCTGCATATTAACTTGCTGTAAAAAGAGAAAATAAACATGTTTATGTACAGGGGTTACTAAGCGTGGTCCATGTCCTATGTCTGATTTGGTAAAAGTTACAGCTCCCTCTAGTGTTGAGTAGAACATGTCCTCATACACTCAAATATACTGGACATTACACAGAAATTAAAACACAACCATGCTGCATATCAAAGAATAAAAACTAACAAGGTAGAGAGATTTTGCATAAGCACTTTTAGGGATATTGGCTTTACATTATAACTAGTTTGGCAATTTTTCAGTTTTGAACATGCCCATTTCTCTGAACCATCATTATCACACTCAAAAGATGAATTGCAATAAAATGCACAATCTGAATAAACAATATTTTTATTAACCCCACTGACAAATACAGATTAGATGAGAATATTGTTCATAATCCTACAATGTATTATTGTATTCTGAGAAAAAGTTTTGATTTAATTTAGTCATGAACTTTTTCGAAGTACTCCTTGGATCCCTCTGGTGTTGGTTTGATCTGAAAGGGGAAACAGATGCAACAACATTAAAACTGGGGTACTTGATTTTCAGACTACAAAAAGAAAGTAGTTTTTCTTAATTTAATTTCTAGTTCCTAGCTCTTACAAACCTTTAGGTGCATTGTTGATATCAACATGCATTCATTTTTTTAGCACATGCACGGCTTTAGAGCAGCTTTATTCAGACGTGAAAGAGATTAACTACTTTATTATTAGACTAATCTTTCATTCATCCAGGAATGATCCTATGAGACCTTTTCTACCTTAACTAACTTTTAGCTACAGAGAGAGTGTCAGGGTTTTGTGACAGTGCTGCTTTCACAGGATTCTTTTTTTGGGTGAGAGCAGTAATTTTACAGTCAGGTGCCATACCCCTAGCCAGGCTGGCGCCACCTAGTGCCTCCACTCGATTTAATTTCTCTCCAGTGACTATGTCAGGAATTGGAATACACTAGAAGGCTCGTAAAAATCCCGGAAGTCCGAATTCGTGTTGGCAACGATTCCCGAGATTGAGGATTTAAAGCCGGAACAAAGAGAATGTTCGGTGAATTTTGTCAAGTGGAAAGACCTTATTGCCCTTCTTCCTATGGGATTTGGGAAAAGCTTAATATACCAGTTAGCCCCGTTAGTGGTGCATTACATACATCACTACCAAATAGCAGCGATTGGTTAAATGAAAAAAAAAAGTATCCGCCTACTGTGAAGAAAATGAATTCCAACACTACGAGGTCAGAGGGTTTCTATGAAGTACCCCAGCTTTAAATTTCCAATAAGACGTCAAAGTCATACCGTAGGCGAGTCGGGGGTCCAGGAGGCGGGGCACACCTCTCCGTGAGTCTCCACAAACTGAAACGCTTTGACCAGTCGCAGCGTCTCCTCCACACAGCGGCCCACAGGCAGGTCATTCACACTCATGTGCTTGACCACACCGTGAGGGTCAATGATGAACAGGCCTCTGCACACAGACACAGAGAAGGTACAGAGAGAGAGATACTTGAATGTGGGACGTCAAATCAGCAGGCTGGCATTAAATAAATACATTGAAATAAATACAGATGAAGAAATGTGTAATTAAAGACAACTACAAAAATACTGTACTAATTCTAGGGAGTGTCTTTTCCAAACACTACAGTTGTGTAACTGATAAGCACTCATTTGTTACACCCATTTCATTTGCAACAGAAAAGTTCAATGTTATCAACTGGTTGGTTTTGAAGTCACATAACTGAAATGGAGGACAGACACCAAAGGTTACAAATGACTAACTATACATACATATTTTTTACATCTAAGTACTGCATTTCAACAGCGGACAGAGGAGAGTGAACTACTGGCTCTGGAAGAAAAATTATCATTCTCCATTGTCTCTACTGAGCTCAAAAGTTTGATGAAGGCTAATATAGATGCAAGAAGACGCCAATCTGTAGCCCGACGGGTCCGAGTAGCGACCGGCACCCAGGACTCCACAGAGAAATCAAATGTTCATCATTGAATCTTTTAGGTTTATAAAGTTTTGAATGTGTCTTTTTCATGAGAAGCAAAGGTGATTTTGCTTTTCGAACGTGAGCTACATTCTTTGTAAATAACCCAGAGTATAATTTGCCTTGGTTAAAACCTTTTAAAAACTATTTTCTGTTTTAACCATGAACTTTTGCATTTATGTTTAGCGCTTTTATTTTGAAGGGTCTATTTCCAGTTAGTGCAAAAGCGTTTAATTAGCTTGACATCGAGAACGGCAATACATTATATGGAGCAAATGTATATATATATTTTTTTCAGATATTTTCTATGCCTTTGTTTTGCTTCCCCTCTGAAGAGGCACAAAGGTATGTTATTGATTTAAATATTTCTTTTGGATAACTTTTTGTCTCTGGTTGTCATCTTTGTTGATTGGTGTTGTCAAGATGAATGTACCATATTTTCCGGACTATTACACGCGCTCTTAAGCCTCCAACCCCATCAAAAAATGACTGCACGCGCCGCAATCCAGAGCGCCTATACACGAATCCACTCGGGAGTCCCAGCACGACTTCAGTAAACTACAAAGCCGCAAACACGCACGGAGCAAACACCGACCGCGCAGCGACAAACACCCACAGCCACACTCATCACTCCACGCCGACGAGGAATGGAACGGAGGAACGAACCGAAAAAGCGAGTGCAATGTGCCACTTCTAGACACAACTGAACAACTGAGTCACTGCGAACACGCCGACAATCCAGCGGTCCCAGACAGCACCCTCCCTACATGCCACAACTGAACAAAGCCCAGAGTCACCGTGAACGCCACAAACTAAGTCCCACTGCCCCATCCAACTGTTGTGTTTTGTTTAAGTCCGGTGCGGTTTATTTGGGAAAAAAGTTTGAAAATAGAACATTCTATGACAGTGCGCCTTATAATCCACAGCGCCTAATAGTGTGGAAAATACAAATAATAATTAAACTTGCACTGAGTTTTATGCATGCGTATTTACACATTGTATTTGTATTCCTTTTGGCTCTTACGGCAGAGGATGGAGGATGCCAGTTTAAGTGTCAGTCTTCGTTCAGAGGGATACGCTACATTCTTATTGTATAACTTCATGATAATTCCTTTACAGTGGTACCTGAGTGCGATGCCGGGCCCCTCCAGCAGCACCCCATAGTCCCTGGAGATCTGTTTGTTCAGGTCAGCGAGAAGGGGAATGTGGATGTGCCCAAGACCTCCAGCCTAAACATAAGAAAAACACAGCCCAGCTTGAATAAAATCAGGTTGTAAATATTAGATTCTTCTTAATTCATTAGTTTTACCTTGCGTGGAGTGTTGATCCAGGCCAGATGAGTGAAGTGAGAGTCCACGGACACACCCACCACCTCACAGTTCACATCATGAAACTCACTGGCTTTGTCACTGAAGGAGATGATTTCTGTCGGGCACACGAATGTACTGGAGATGTGGAAAAAAAATAAAAACATAAAATACTAATATAGATGAAGAAAAATTAAGAAAAGGACACGTGCATTTCAATAAACTCTGGATATTTTACTCTGAAATGCCTCATACAAGTTTACTTCTAACAACACCTGTGTTTAAATGTTTTAAGGTCCTCTAATTCTTCAACTAATGCCATGATTTATGTATTGTAAATAATCCAAGCAAATTCTGTTTCATTCAGAAGCAATTGTGATATGAATTCTACTCAGTTACTTTGCTATTCTATAAAATTACCAGATTTACTATGCAACTTTTCAGCTGGAGGGTCTTAACTACAGATATGTTTTTACTTTTTATTGCTTTACATTTTAACAAACTGTGGTCATGTAAAAATAAAAAGGTCTCTGAAGTCACTATTACTTTGCTCTTATATATTAAATGTACTTTTTACTGTCGCTTTACTCATTCAGTAATTCACTCTGAAAAATGTCTGAGTCTGAGCCTAGATGAATTAGTTTTTGTCAATTTCTGTTTAATTTCCACTACAGTCACGATTTACTCACAAGTCTAGTGGGTAGAAGAAGAGGACCAGGTATTTCCCTTTAAAATCCTCCAGACTAATGTCCCTGAACTCTCCGTTGTGGACCGCAGTGGCTTTGAACGCAGGAGCGGGCTGAGTGACTGCAGCCCCCCATCTGGACAAACCTGATGAGATAAGATAAATAAACAACTATGTTATCATTCAGTTCAAGATAACATCACATATACATATAAAAGTGTCAAACATACTGGTGGAGAAGCAGGCTTTCTGAAGGGCAGGTGCAGTGAGAACTTTAGCAGCATGTTGACAGGAGGCTGTTCTGAGTCCTCCAGCAGCAAACCTCACCTAGAACACAAAATATAAGTACAGTTTTACTACTAGTACTACCTAGTCACAACTTTTAACTTCTGACTGCATGTTTACTGTGACTAGTCTAGGTTTTCATTGTAATCTCTCAGATGTTTATTCATGTATTTATTTATTTGTAAAGGCACAGCACATATTAATGAACATTTTAAATGAAAATATGTAAAGATTAAAGTCAGCGTGGCTAACTTCCATCTTCAGTCCCTTGGAAGATTGATGTGAAATCATCTACAAGACAGGGAAAAGTACAGCAACAATCACACAAAAGTAACACCAGCACACTCACTGTACACTCACTATACATACAATTAATTTCAGACAGTTCATTTGAAGTTTGAAGTCAAGCGTTAAAGAGTTAAACCAACAACTCCTGTATTTAAAAAAATAAAATAAAATTGTTAAACATGGTGACATATTTGATCATTTATTTTTGTCTGTTTTCTGTTAGGTCTAATGTTTAATGCCTTGTAATGTCGAATAAGAGTCTGTTGTCTTATTGAACGTTTCATGTTTTTACCTGCATTGGGACAGCGGAATAAATCTAACTATTGTACTAACTTTGGTATATAAATTAATATGCACAAAATGCATCTTAAATCATAGAGATGTAACAATATCCAGATCTCTCGGTATGATATTATCACAATATCCATCTCATTTATTTATTTATATTTATAGCGATATAATTGTAGATAGGACACTTTTTTGCTTTTAAATTACCCTGACAAGATTTTGATGTGAATTAATACTCTCATACTCACAAGAATTCAAGTAAACCCGTATTTCTTCATGTTGTCTGTGCTGAAATGAATCATGGGATTTGTAGTTCCCAATGTTTATTAGCTATTAGTTCTATAAAACAATGCATTTAAGCAAAGGATTCTAGTAATTCGATATATTGTGACAGCCCACGGTATTATTGTCAGACTTTTGACGACACAATATCAGAATATTTCGTTATTGTTACATCTCTACTAAATCAAATAAATTAATAAATACAAAATTAAATATTTGGTACATGGTGTTAAGTATAATGTTGATTATTCAGAAATCTAAAGTAAGATGCCAGTGTGTGTGTTTTGTATCAGTCCTGCAGGGTTGTATAATGCTTGTAAAATGGGTGCTGTAGTTATTTGGATGGATTTGGGGCAACAGGTGACTCTTAAACCCATTAATCAATTAAACAAGTTGCAATCCAGCCCAAACAAACCCACATTTGAAGAAACAGAGAGACAAATCACGTCCAGGTAGCACGTTAAAGCCTGTTTTGATACACACTTTATTTTGTGTGATTGTGACAGTTGCGCAGACCAGTTTGGTAACTGTAATTGTAGGTTAAACACACGGACATTGAACGACACATGACATGAGGCACAGACACTGAAGAAATGAATAAACGCACCACATGCAAACGTCATTACGAACTATGCACAAGACCAATGGACTCAAGATCGTACGCTGGGTTTAATCATACCTGAAGTGCAAAAAATTGACAAAAAGCAAGGTTTAAAACTTGCACTTACACTTGTCCCGAGCAGTCTTCCAAAGGTGGCCGCCATCTTGGTGTGTCTGACAGGAGCAGGGGGAGGAGCCGCTCACATCATTATGAAAAACATTAACTATTTTTTCTTTTTTTTTTTCCTCCTTCTTCATGTTTTCCGTCATGTTTTAATGTTACTCTTGTGAATTTGTATTTACTTAAGATAAACACTACGGTACTAATGTAGGGTGACCAGATTTTCAAAATAAAAAAAACTGCGACATGACTGTTTATTTATTTATTTATTATTATTATTATTATTTTTTAAATTTATTTACTTAAATTTATTTATGTACATTTATGTATTTATTTATTTTAATTAATTAATTAATAAATTAATTAATGTATTTATTTATTTATTTTATTTTAATTTTATTTTTTATTTTTTTGGTGGTTGGTAATAATAAAATTGTGAAATGAGTGCGTAATTAAGGAAAATTGTTACGCAGAGACCATTCATACTTAACATGTGAGTGAATATAGTCGCATTTTCTTTGCGTTTTGGTCATTTTTAAGTAGCGTTTCTGTATTTTAATGACAAATTATGCGTCTCTTTACTGTTGGCAGGGATCGGATTGGTCGAAAATAGGGACACCAGAGACATTTCTTGTATAAAACTGGGACAAATCACTGGTTTTGGATAAATCTGCGGAGACAGGGGACACAGGGCTCAAAACTGGGGCTGTCCTGGGTAAATTGAACATCTGGTCACACTAAACTAATGCTCTGTCTGTTTTTACGTATTAACAATACTATTATTAATATTGTTATACTAAACTAGGCTGACCAGACGTCCCTATTACCTAAAGTAGTTCAAAGTGCATCATAGAAAATAAATCATATTGCAAAAAAAAACCCAAAAAAACCCAACATAAATATTCACAGTACATTTAATTCTGAAAGAGAAGAACACAGATAAAAGTATACAGCAAATGTGGCAGAGACTAAAGAGTCCAGTTGCCTTGAAAATGTGACCTTTATTTTTATTTTTTTTTCCATGCTCCTTGAACGCAATTCAGATCACGTGACAAAAGCGGAACTAGAGGCTCCAGCAGCATGAGCATGATTTGACCTCAGGATGAAAATAATGCATGTTTATAACCTATAATTGCGTGTACTTTATTTATATTTAATTTTTATAAAGATTACGTTTTCGCTTTTGTAATGGATCCTAATTTGTTACACTGGAAAGGCCAAGGACAGGTAGGTTTTATTATAAATGACCGGATTTGTGACAGATCCCATTCATTCATTCACTAAACAGTTTTATTTTTGTTTATCTTTATAGTCTTTTCTTGGACGTCTAAAGATCTGGTCTGACCTTCTGGATCCAACGTTACTGCTGTCTTCAGATGTGAGTGATGCCTATGTATCTTTCCTGCTCTCTTGATTTAGTCTTTTTGAAATGAATATTCCTAAAATAGAAATTATTTTTATCATTATTTGTTTGGCATTGGGTCCACAAACACACACTATTAATATTTGTCTAGGGTGACCAGACATCCCTATTTACCCGGGACAGTCCCAGTTTTGAGCCTTGTGTCCCCTGTCCCAGCAGATTTATTCAAAACCAGTGATTTGTCCCAGTTATATACATGAAATGTCTCTAATTTTGAACAATCTGATCCCTGCCAACAATAAAGAGAGGCATAAAATGGTAAAATACAGAAACGCTGCTGAAAAATGACCAAAACCGAAAGAAAATGTGACTACTGATTCATATGTTAGTTAGGAATGGGCCGAGTGCAAATAATTTGACTTAATTACTCACTCGTTTCTCAGTTTTATTACTGACAACCACCCCAAACCAGGACTGTCCCAGTTTTTGATTTTGAAAATGCGGTCACCCTAATTTTGTCCTTTGAACCATAGAGTGAATATATATTTCTTTTATACAGTTTATGCTTTCAACTGACATCAATGACGCACTTAAAGTTGAATAATGACACCACTTTCTGAGGTTACTGTGACAAAATATGTTGATGTTTCTTTATTTGTGCTGACAGAGAAGATATGAATCCGTTTATCATTCGTTCATTAGTTTTTTTCAATATAAAACCAAAATTAAGAAAACTAAAAAACACAACTGTCTTCTTTATTTGTCTCCAAAACCAAATATGAAAAAACAGCCAATGATTTGTTTTTTCAGTTTTTTTCCAGAGTGAATCGGGACTAAACCGAGAACTAAACCAGTCTCAGTCTTGGTCTCAGTTCCGGTCTCAGTCCCGGTCCCAGTCCGAGTCTTAGTTCTGGTCTGGTTCCGATCTGGTCACAGTTCTGGTCTCAGTCCTGGTTTAGACCTGGTATAGTCCTGGGTCAGTCCGGCATCTCAGTTTAACTCACGTAAACGGGAAATAGCCATTATCCGTTTTTTTTCCATTATTCATTTAAACACAAAATTGAGAACTGAAAAAATGATTCCATCTCTGCTTGTGCATTTACACTTTCAAGTACATACTTATAGACAGTTACTTCTTGTTATAGACAATTACTTATAGACAATTATCTCTGTGTATTGTTAGAATGCATAGGCTGTGTATTGTGGCTGGATAAACAAATAAATAAAAAAATGGACCTTAAAACTAAAAAAGTGCATTCAACATTCGTATCTTCCTGTCCTCATCAGAGAGTGGGAAATTCAACATATTAAAGAAGACATATATTTTTGGTATTTAGTTGCATTATGTGCAGTGTAAACCACAGTATTGATCTAAAAGAGCTTCAGAATAGAAACTGGTCCGTTGTCAGTGCAGTGTTATATTTCATCACAGCAAACAGACATTATAGTTAACATTATAAACGGCTAAATGATCATCTAAGTCTGAACCTCAGCTTAAAAAAAAAAAAAAGTATTAAAAAGATAATTATCTGAATATCACAACACGTTTAACAAATGACATGACAGAAAAACCTGAAAACAAGACAGGCTACCGGTTACCATAGCAACGGGGCTGAGTCAGCTGACCGGGGAAGGATAGGTTTATGACTTTTCAGAAAAAAAAAAAACAAAAAAAAAAACAATTAAATAGTCTATCCCATAAAACAAGTGGGACTTAGTAAAGAATAAAAATCAGGGACTGAGACTCAAAAGTGAAATCAAAGGCAGTTTAAATTTATTTGAAATTTCAATAAATCACAAATCCGGTCACAGGCATCAAAAAATAAATTCTGTTTGTTCTGTGTTTGAATGTTGTGAATCCGGAGGTCTGGGTCTTATATTTCTTCTCCAGCAGATGGCGCCACTGCTCTGGGCGACGCAGGGTACTTGGTTTTTAGGTTTTCCTCTGTAAAACTCAGTCAAAAGTCAAAAATTCAAAAGTATAGCTCAGATTTCCCCACATTTCATAATTTTGTTTGAGAAACTTTTTTTTTTCTTCTAAATTCTACACACATTACACATTTTATTCAACATTACAATATTTACATATTTACAGAACAGTTTACAGATGTACTTTTTATTCTAGCGGCAGGAGGCATTTTAGTAATCACCGACTAAATCAGACCTATAAATATTACTTAAATCTGTCTTTTATCTTGTAGCTTTAAAGTTGGTACAGTCAGTATATTAAAGTGCATATGGAATGTTAGAAATCTTCATAAATATAATTGCTAATTTTATTTCCTGGTTGAACATGGACAGCAGATACAAAGCCAATTTCATAACTTTTACCTAGCAACAGCACTGTGAAAAAGGGACATGACTAAAATTACACAATAGTTCAATACATGCATCACGAATTTCGGACTTCCGGTCATCGTGCAATGCATACTGCGAAGGATTCTCTGAAAAAGTGAGCATCAACCCACCATGATTGACTTCGCAGTGGGATGGTCTATTGACAAAGCCGATCTTTTCAAGTCTTTTGAACCATATCACTTTTGTTTCTGGTTCTGATATTGTCATATTTTAGTTTTGGGATTCGGACATCGTAATTGTGTGGATGTTGGATCCTAACAGCGGAAAACGGGCTTTGGAAGTTTGCGAACTCCATAAATGCAAAAGGGAATCAGATGTGTGTGACTGCGAACCTCCATTCAAACTGTTGTGAAAGGTGAAGATGATAGGTAGGATTGATACACAGGAAGGATGAAAAAGGAAACCTTTGACTGCCTAAATCATCCTGAGTTTTTCATTTTGTATGTAGAGCGACAAGGTGCAGAAGACAAACAGGCCGAGCTCGCACTTTGTTGTTCTTGTGGTTTTACAGTCGCTTTGCAGTGGAAGGTGTTTCTTGGTGAACAGTTGGTGCCTTCCGCTTTGGCGTTGACTTTTTAAATTTGTCGCCAAGATTGAGCGAGGGATCGGGATTTTGCTTTGATGATGCTCCACATACAAAATGTTCGCTGCAAACTCTGATGATTTCTAAGGACAGCCAAAGGTTACCAAGACTGCCCATCGCCTTCGCCTTTCACTATTTTTCAATTCCACTGGGAAAGGAAACAGTTTGAACAGAGGTTTGCAGTCACACAGATCTGATTCCCTTTTGCATTTATGGAGTTCGCAAACTTCCGAAGCCCGTTTTCCGCTGTTCGGACATCCAACAACCACACCATTACGATGTCCGAATCCCTTAACTAAAATACAACAATGTCAGAACCAGAAAAAAAAGTGATATGGTTCAAAAGACTTGAAAAGATCGGCTTTGACAATAGACGCATCCCACTGTGAAATCAAACATGGCGGTTTGATGCTCACTTTTTCGGAGGATCCTTCCCAGTATGCACTGCGTGATGACCGGAAGTCCGAAATTCGTGATGCATGTATTATTTCTGCATTTGAAAGTTTTGATAACAGATGTATTCCTTTGTAGAACCACTAAGTCTTTTATTTTTGTGCTTTTCTTTTCAACTTTTGTCCAGAAACTAACACAAAACTGATGTAAAACTAAGTAAATATCACCAAACCAAGTAAAAATAATTAGAAAAAGCTGCCATACACACTTGAAGATCGGGCTAAAAGAGGCAGGTTTTACGCCGAAGCAACCCTCTCCATTTATCCAGGCTGGGGACTGGCACAGAGGGACACACACAGCGCCCTCTGTGGCTGGATTAACCCACCGCCCGTGTTCGTACAGAGTTAGTGTGTTAGTAAGTGCGTGCAGACATACTCACAGTAAACAGCAGCAGCCTCTGGACCTGTGAAGACTAGTTTAAAAGTTTAGTAAAACAGCTTAGATCTGCAATGAGAAGAGTCAGAAGAGTTAGGGTAGAACTGTCATTTCACAAGACAAGCCCAAAACAATTTTACAACACACACATGGAAATATTAATATGAGATTTAACCTTTAACCCTGTAAAGTTAATACAATGTTTAAACAGAAATGTCAACGTATTTTAAACAAACAGACCCTGTGGAAACCTGTGAAAGAGTTGGATTAGGACAAGAATACTAGACTTTCAGTTTAGTGTCAGGGTTAGGACCAGAGCCATCAGACTCTATAAAGCAGTCCAAATCTGGCCCACGTTTAGACCAGTTCAGACCAAACCAAATATAAAACATACACACAACCCAAAGATCAAGTCAGTTTTCAGACCTTTTTAACTCCAAATGAAACTGCTGAAGGGTTAGTTTACAATAAGTAATATCAGTTTCACCCAACCATAACATGTTTTACCAGCCTGTTTAAATCTGGCCCATATTTAGACCAGTCGAGGCACCAAAAACACACAAGGGCCCAAACCCAATTGCAACCTGTGGAAATTACGGTGTAAACAATTAATCTGGCCCACTCCACATTTAGACCAGATAAGACCAATAGAGACCAGCAGTCTCCATAAAAGTGAACCAATGTTTAGAATATGGCCCACTTTTGGACCAGTTTAGGCCCAAAAGTAAAGCCTGTAACATAAAATCTTCAGCATATTCAGGTCTTGTTTTGAGATGATTCACATAGAAATGTCACCTACCTGAGTTAAAGTCTGCATGAACAGACCAATGAATCCAGTGAAAGATCCTGTAAGATTATGTGGGTCACAAACCCAAGGTCAAAGGGTCAGAACTATTACAGACCACAAAAAGTGACAGAACACAAGGGCCTCAACCCTTGGACCAAAACTCAAGTCAAGATGAGTGGCTGAGCACTCACTCACAGCAAAAAGGTTCCTTTGTGTGCAGAACCTGCACAGGTGTATGGCAGCAGCTCACTGCTCCTGACAGGCTGCCCCAGCAGCACTTTGCATTTGACTCATTCATCATCAATAGAGGGAGAATTTCCCTCAAAAATTCCCTACTAAAATATACTGTACCTTAAGATTATTCCAAATGATCAGGTTTTAAAACGATGTGGGTTCCTCCAACCTGAAAACTCCAGGGTTAGTCAGTAACATATGGCAAACATGTTTTAGCTTTAGCTG